CATTTACAAACTAATTGAGCACTTATACATTGAGTACTTCCAGGAGACCCCTTAATTCATCGAATCCTTGCAACAACTCCATTTTACACACCCTTGTTTTATGAACAATGAAGTGGAAAGATGGAGTAGCTCACCTAAAGACATGCATGCCTAGGTGGTCAGGAATCTGAACCTAAGTCTGTTTGGCTCCGAAATTTCTATTCCATCAGCCCCACTGCGCACTCCCTCAAACCATTCACTTAGAATTATATTTGGTGCAAATGGACTTTATGAATTAGGAACTAGGACTCTTTTCCTGAAATGTGAGAATGAGGTGGGTGGGCTGACTTCTTTAGAAAAGGTCAATATCTGCTACAGGAATTTTAGACCAAAGGGCTGATTTAAAATATTTCCCAAGGGAACTAAGAGGAGAGTGACTTTCATTTACTAAGTCATATTTTAGGCCAAAATAATATTAAATAATAATAAGTAGGTGCTAGATTCTGCACTAAGCACCTAACATCTRTCATGCCCCTTAATCATTCCAGGAGGCCAGAGAGACAGGTATTATTATCCCTAATTTCCCAGATGAGGGATCTGGGGCACAGGGGGTAAACTTGTCTAACAGCACACAGTAAGCATGGATTCAGATTAATCAGAACCCAAGGCCCCACGTTCGTGCCCCCCAGTCTATATTGCTTGCTAGCTTTCTCTCCCTCTGGGGTTCTGGGGGTGATTCAGGAAGGAAAGAAATACACTGAATATTTACCGGGTGCCAAGTAGCATGCTTTTGTATGTCTTGTCTCATTGAATCCTATACACATCCATAAAAAGCAGGTTCTCTTATTACAGCTATTTCAAAATGAGGAAATTGGGGTTCTAAATGGTGTCGTGCACAAAGTCACATGTTTTTTAAAGGCTAGAGCCAGGATGCACCAAGACCRTCTCACCTAAGTCTACTGCCAACTTGCATCATGATTGCCATTATTTTCTCCCTGCTCAGTGCTATACTTTTCAGGGTGGTGGAGAAAATTTTTCTTTTTTTGAATGACAGTTGTCAACCCCTTGCCTCAGGAACCTAATAGGGGTCCACCTAGATTTCAAAGTCTCTTAATAACCTGTCCTTCCTTTATTTCATTCGTTTCATCCCTCCTCCCCCCACTCTCTCCTCTCCACTGGCTGGAATTGCTATCACTCCACCTTTTACATTCATTTCCATTCTCAGGCCTCCTAGATGACAGACATCGCTCAATGGCCAACTTCAGCATCTCATCATTCAGGTTCCATCTATGCCAGTCCTCACTTGCAGCCCTGATCAAAACCTTTCATCGATAACCCTTTATCTGCTCAATGTACCCAGACTTCCCAGGCTGGCATTCCAGCCAGTCATTCAGTTGCAAATATGTGCTGAGAGTTAATTATGTGCCAGACACTCTCCAGGTGCTGGGAGAGCCACCAAGAACCAGACAGACCGGTCACTGCCCTTAAGGTGAACACACTTGGTATTAAATAATTACAAATAATCAATTAAATAATTACTAGTATGAATCAAGTAATTACCAGGCCCTCTACCATCTGGTCTCAGCCTATCTTTTCAGAGTTTTTTCTCAYCCTTTCGAGTCATCCAAATGGGCTGACCTTTCCAGGCTTTCCCACCTCTGAGGCTATGTCTGCTCCCTCCTTCCTTTTCTGAACACAAGCRCTTTCCTGCTTCACCTAGAATCCTTCCAGGACCAGTTCTGGTTCTGCCTCTTCCAGGAAGCCCTGCCAGCCAACTCAAGCCTGAAGGATCTCCCCTCATTTCAATTCTTAGCACTTATCCATTCAACAAATATTTACKGAATGACTTGTTGGAATGTTTGATGAGTGACTCTTCATGAGATCCTAAACACATGCTAAGACATTAAAGATTTAAATGGTACAGGGAGTTACCGTTTTCTTATTCATAGGGATCACATTGTTTTCTTGGGAGGGGAATCCATGAAACTATGTAGTAGATCATATAAGATTACAGATGAGCAAAATGATAATTAAAAAATTATTCAGTTACTTGTAATCCTACTAAAGAGACCTACTATTGACATTTTTCTTTCCAGCATTTTCTCTTGCTATTTCTCTCTGTCTACACCCAGTTTGTAAAACTCCTTTTCCCCCCAGATTATAATTTTATCAAGAAATCTTTTTTTCTTATGGTCTTTTTAAAAACATAAAGTACCTTTACCCTGAATCCCTGACTTTCTTCTACTTGGGTATGAAATGGTTTTTGTCTTAAACAAAACCTAGTTGATAGACATTGTTCAATGCAGTAATACACACATATAATCCTAGCTAGATTAGTGGTAGAGGATCCCTTGGTTCAATCCYTAGTACCAGGGGAGTAAAGTGGGTGGGCTAGGGACATAGCTTAGAGGTAGCCTATCATGTTTGAGGCCCTGGATTCAATCCCCAGTACAACAACAACAACAACAACAACAAAATACCAAAACCGAAACAAAAAACCAAACCCAAAACCCCCAAACCTAGATAATCTACTGAGACTCATCCATCTTTTCCAATTCATTGATCCTATGTACAGTAAGAACTCAAACATTATTTCAGAGCATTTATTTCAGGAAACCTTTCTCTTGACTTTTTCCCCTCCTCTGGTGGTACTGGGAGTTGAACCCAGAGCCTTGTGCATGCTAGGCAAACACTCTGCTACTGAGCTATATACTTAGTCATTTTTACTTTGAGACAGGTTCTCACTAAATTTCTCAGACTATGTTCCACCTGAGTAGCTGGGATCACAGGCATGTGCCACCATACCTGGCCCAGGAATATTAAGACCTTCTCTGGATTCTCTTTTGTTTTGTGGTACTGGGGACTCATGGCTTTGTGCATGTTAGGCAAGTGCTCTACCACTGAGCCTCATCCCCAGCCTGTATGCTCTTTTGAACAACACCATTTCACCTCTTTTATTTAAGACTTATATGTGTGGATTGCCTAGGTCTASAGTGTAGCCACATTCATGGGTGAGGAGCCAGGTTCCATCTATGCCAGTCCTTACTTGCAGCCCTGAGCAAGACCTTTCAGCAATAACCCTTTATCTGCTAAATGTACCCAGACTTCACAGAATGTGCAGACTAGAACACAGGGGATCTTCTGGTCCACGCCCCCACCTTAAGGATGAGTGGGGGCAGTACATGTTAAGCACTTGCCTAAGCTCATGCTCTGCCTGGTTATTTTTCCAAACTGTTTCAGTTTTTCTAATAATAAACTCCATACTGAATTTACACAAAAGAGTAGTCACTGAAGCACTAACTCTTGCTAAATAAATCCTATCTATCTCCAAAAAGGAAACAGTAATGCAGTTTGGTAGATACCAGGCTTGTTTTGAAATAAAAGAGAACTTTTCTTCTTAGAAGTCAACATTGCTATGATAGGATTAAAGCACAGAAGAAACATTAGGGGCCACCTATCTCTTTCTTTCTTTATGTTTGAAAAAACAGTACAACAAAGGGATGTAGGGAAGGGTTGGCCTTTGAGAATGAGTGGCAGCACAGGTTTTATGTATGTTCTGCTTGATCTGGTCTCTTTACATGTCACCATGATCCAAGATGGCAATTTTACTAATCAAGAGAAACCCAAGGATTGTAGAAAAGTTAATTATCTTCAGAGACACCAACCCCACTTCATGACTGCTTTCCCAGCCGCAGTGTGAAGCCCCAGTAAGGTGGTCTCTCACCTTTCTTTTCTTTCTTTAAATTTTGAGACAGGGTCTMGCTAAATTGCTAAGGCTGGCCTTGAACTTGGGATCCTCCTTCCGTAGCCTCCCAAGTACYTGGAATTACAGACCTGAGCCACAGYACCTAGATAGTCTTTTGCCTTTCTGAATTTTAAAACAATGACGGTATTGGAATCTCTTCTTACAGGAACCCCAAAGGGAGAGCCGTGCGCAGTCTTCATTGAGGAGTGTAGTTTCAAGAGTTCTTCTAATGAACATTCCAGTGGTCCTGAAAGGCTTAACTAGGAGATGAAAGGCTCTGGGGTAGGGRTGGTGGGGGCGGGTTTGGGGTAGTATGAAAGCTGATCCACCAGGTTGCACTAGGGTAGAGGCAGATCTCAAGAGGTAGAGAATCAACTAAAAAGGAAGCTGGAGAAGACAGCTCTCTCCGGGGTGCAACCCAGTTCCTTTCTCCTCTGCTCACTTTCAAAAGACCCTTTAGGATGAAGAATACCGGTGCTGCCCAGTGGGGCCCCTACCCACCCATGGTAACAATGGGAGCGTCTTCCCTTCCAGCCTTTTCGCTCTGAATGAACTCTCAGCGGTACCTTTTAGGACCCACCTTCCCTCCTCACACACCCAATGAGGCCGGGGCCTCTTCCTGCCGGTGTTGAACTCTCCCAGGATATGGACAGGTGCCGTGGACCAATGGTCGGAGCTGCGGCGGGCCAATGGGAGCCAGCGCTGGGTCAACCTGGGGTTTGAGAATAGGAGAGCCCGCAGAGGGGGGCGGTGCGACAAAGGCGCAGGGGGTGGAGGGACCTGGGAGGCGGCCGGCGAGGCTGCCCCAACCACGGCGAGAGGAACCTGTGGACYGGCCGCCGCCGCCAATGGGAGAGCGAGCTGGTACGGGGGCGGGCCCGGGGCTGACGRCACCGCCCCCCGGGTCCGCAGGGTTGGGGCGGAGCCAGGCCCGCGTCAGGTGGTCCCGGGCGTGCGGGCGGCGCGGGGGGCGGGGCGCGGCGCGGGGCGGAGAGGGGAGCGGCAGCCGGCGGGCGGCGGCGGGCACCGGCAGCGCTAGCAGGTACCGGCGGCTGAGGAGGTGAGGCCGCCCCCGGGGGCGAGCGGGCAGGCGGGGAGTCCGGCCCGCCGCGCCCCTATGCTGCGGTGAGCGTTCCCCGCCCCGCCACCTCGGGCCCTACCTGCGGCCGCCGTCGGGGGAGGGGGGTCCCCCCAGCTCTGCGGAGCCGCATGAACAATAGGCGGCGGCGGCTCCTGCGGGCGGCGACAGCCCCGCACCCTATGGATCGGCCGCTCCATGGAGCCCTCCAGAGCGCTTCTCGGCTGCCTGGCGAGCGCCGCCGATGCCGCCCCGCCTGGGGAGAATGGAACTGGGGCCGGGGCCGAGGAGGAGGAGGAGGAAGAGGAGGAGGCGGCGGCGGCGGCCCCCGGGGAGCTGGGCTCCGAAGCACCGTTGCCCTACTGGACGGCCGTGTTCGAGTACGAGGCGGCGGGAGAGGAGAGCTGACCCTGCGGCTGGGCGACGTGGTGGAGGTGCTGTCCAAGGACTCCCAGGTGTCCGGCGACGAGGCCTGGTGGACCGGGCAGCTGAACCAGCGGGTGGGCATCTTCCCCAGCAACTACGTGACTCCGCGCAGCGCCTTCTCCAGCCGCTGCCAGCCTGGAGGCGAGGACCCCAGTTGCTACCCGCCCATTCAGTGTAAGATGAAGGCGGGGAGGTGGAAGGATGGAGCCCTGGGGTGGTGGAGGAGGAAGGGGAGCCCTTCGGGAGGTTTGTTAGGGGTGGGGAACCTGGATAGGGAATGATTGACCGGGGTATGGGTGGATGCGCGCGCTCTGGGGCTCGGGGTCTATTAGTTGATGCGGTGGATAAGCTAAAGAAGCCCCAGGCTTTGCCCGGAACTCAGGGGATTGGACTTCTTAAGCTTCATCTGACTACCTTAGCAGCAGCTTCTGGTTTCCACATCCTGAAACCCCAGCATGAAAGTCTCCCCATTTCCCGATCCTTTCCTCTTCCAACTTGCCCTCCAAATCTGGAAAGATTTCAGGCAAGCTGATGGTTACTGTCTTAACCTTAGTTTCCAAGTCAGGGACCTTGCCGACCTCTTCAATGGGCTGTCCCCGCCTCTTAAAGGTATTTGCTTTAAGAGAGGTGGAGGTGTCTCCCGAAGGGCTGGGCTGGCTCACAAGACCCGGAAGCGTGTGTGAACTCAGGGCCAAGTGCCTCCGAAATGTCGTGTTGATTTCTGGGATCCTAATCCTGTATCTCAGAAGTTGTACCTTTAGGAGTCTCACTGAATATTGTGCTAAGAAACAGGGGAGGGCAAGTGATTGGTGGAGAAATGATTAGAAGGGGAAAAGTATGTCGTTCCCCTTGAAAAGTTAAGAAGCACAGGTACAGTGGCTAAGTCCCAGTCACACTTTAGACAATACATTTTCTGTTTTCTTCTCACCCTAGATCCTTGCCTATATTTGGAATTGGCTAAATCTCAATTGTCCTGGTTTTCATCAATTTCCCAGGAGCCCCCCTGTTCCACACCCTGTAATGAAATTTCCTTTGTTTTTTTTCCAAAGAAGTTAAATTGCTATTAAAATCCCTTAATCAATTATACTTTGTCATTTTAGAAGAAAGGTGTAAATACCTCCTAGTGCAGTTTACACTGTTTTGTATTTGAGAATTTACATAATTTCCTCCCTGTTACAATGTATTGCTAATATATATTGATTACTGCTTATTCCATATTTTATATACTTAGCATCTTAGTTGACTTAAAAAATCATTACCAAGGGCTGAATTTGARTAGTCTTAAATTTTCATTCATAAGTTATCTTCTTGTTCTGTAACTTATTTTCACCTGAACACTTGTGTTACTTTGTCTTAAGATGTGTTTTAAATACTAGCACTTAATGTCAAAAACATAACCTCTTTCCTTGTTTTTCTGTTTTTCTTTTGGTGGTTTGACTGTTAAAGTAATATTCAAATTTTCACTTCTTGTTCTTTCTTTTCCCTCTCATTCAATTTAAAACTTCATCTTGATCTTTATAATGGCTGTAGGTGGCAAATTACTTTAAATTGTTTCTGGGTGCTACATCTTCTTGGCTCTGGTATTGGTAAGTTGAGGGCCATGCAAAGGTCCTGGCATAGTGTTTTGAAATAGTGTTGAAGATGAATGTGGCCATATGTTGGAAGACATACAAATAGTCTGGCATGTTAGAAAACAGTGTAATTTTAAATGTAAGTCAAATTTTGTGAGTTAAAAATTCTATGATTTTAATTTTAGGGACAGCTAATGTCAGAGTAGAAGAGTTCTGTGAAGGTCATGAGCAGGAGCTCAGTTTCTTCAGTGTCTTGTCCTCATGGCTGTCCACACTTAGGAGTGAATGTGTCTTAGAGAGCCAGACATATCAACAGTGTTCTTACCTACAGGAGCTCTTTTCCTGAAAGGTGGCCTGACCTTATCTTTTTTTGTAGCAAAAGTTACCTTGGATAGAATGGATTCCTAAATCTAGAACCCAAATGATGGGAAAGAAGGCAGAACTTTATGCTTATTGAAAGAATTGACTTCAAGAACATGGTGTTTGAAAGTCCCAGTAAGTGCTCTTATTTGGCCTCATTTGGTTGGATCTCTTATCTTGACTGAAATTAATTCTTGGTAATTCAGAAACCTTAATTCCAGTCAAAACTGATTATTGAGTATCTAAGGAATGATAGATACTGTGTTACATGCCAGGGAATAAAGAAATGATAAGATATGAGGTGCTTATAATTTACATGAGGGAAATTGGTGGTGTAAATGTAAAATGTCAGTGTGGTACTTTGATAAGGACATGTACATCTCTTATCTGCATGCCCTGTCCACCAGTTCAGTTATGGTCACTCAGATTATAAAGGTGAATGACAAACCTTGTCTCTAAAGACTCAGAATAAAATTGAGCCACTGACAACTCTTCTTCAGAGTTGCCCTTTTAAACTTCCCTGGGGCATGTATTTTAGCATTACATTCTGGATCATAAATGGAACACAGGAAGTCAAGCAGTAAAGTGTTCATGATTAGCTTCATAGTATTGTTTCTCAAAATGAAAACTTTGTTTCAAACTTTATTCAGAACTCAAGAGGAAATTTCTAAATCTTGCATCAAAGGAAAAATATGATAGTGATAATATAAACCATCTTTCATTTACATAGTGCTTTTATCCCCTCCAATGTAGGTCTTAGAGTTTAGCTCTGAATGGATGACAAATGTAAATAACCTGGGAACACATTATTCTCTATTTTAGTAAGTGATTTAAAAATGTACAGTTCCAAATGTTATCATTCTGGGAAATATAATCCTAAGTATTTTTTTTTTTTAAGTTTCTCTTAGGAGAGTATGTCTGCTTTCAAGTAGGGCATACATTAAGGTCAGCATTGATTTACATTATGAACATATGCTTCTTTTTCCTACATCCTCTAGAAATAGAAGGATATATTTTCAGGTTACATATGATTTTTAAAAGAACAGGATCGATACCACTCACTTGCCTCAAACCCACTAGAATGTGCCTATACATTGTTTCTAAACATGCAATCGAGAGGGAATAACATCTTGACACCAAAAATGAAATAGGTTTTGTTCCTGGTATTCCTTCTGAGGAAGGATATTCCTGGAAATATCCTTCCTCAGAAACTGAAAAATGTGCTGAATGCAGGTTGACCTGATTCTTGTTTAAAACCAGGTCTTGACTGGAACCRAAGCGAGGAAGAGCCTCACGTACTCACTGCTGCAACTGAAGGTCCAGTTCCTTAACTCCCATCCAGAGGGACTTCTTAGCAGGGAAGCAGGAAAGGAAAAACAACCCCATTTCCCATCTTATGTCTTTTATGTTTGAAAGCTGAACTTTTGTTCTATACTTTTCTTGAAGGCTGGTCATAGAGGTTCCTTAACTGAATTTAAAAAAAAAAAAAAAAGTCTGAGATTTTATGTTCTACCCTAAGAGGTTTCCTGCCTTCTRTGAGATGCTGTTGGAGGAGCTGTCCTTTCAGCACCCTTGTCCTGAATCACATCTTTTATAGCCACACACATTTAAATAAATATTGAATACCTACTTTGTGTTGACAGCTATGTTTCAGACCAGAGGAAAGAAGGAAGACTATATAAAAAAAATACAACAGTTCCTTCAGGAGAATTCAAAGGCCCCGTTGAGGAAATAAGATAATAAATACTAAGTTGAATACTAAGTTGGAGATGCACATAGTTTTATCAGTGTGAATGCTGGTATGGGGGAAAAAAAAAGAATGATTCCCTCTTTGACCAGAGACTCTTATATATTTCTCCAAGAGGAGGAAGAGGAGGAGGAGGATGATGATGATGATGATGATGATTGGCACTACTGGTTGAACTCAGGGGCATTCAATCACTGAGCCACATCCCCAGCCCTATTTTGTATTTTATTTAGAGACAGGGTCTCACCAAGTTGCTTAGCACTTCACTGTTGCTGAGACTGGTTTTGAACTCACAGTCCTACTGCCTCAGCCTCTCGATCTGCTGAGATTATAGGCATGTGCCACAATGCCCGGCTCCAAGAGGATTCTTAATCTCTCATTAACATAGGCATGTTTTTTCATTCATATAAATGACGTCAGGCAAAAATTAGTAATCAGTCAAGATTCATTTTCAGGACACAGAAATACTCATTTTAAATAAGATAGGGATTTAGCATAGAAAATTAGGTGCTCACGGAATTGTTGGAAGGGCTGGGAGAAGAGGCTTTTGGCTGGACCTCTGGGAAGAACTTCCAGAACGTTGCAGAACTGGCCTACCAGGAGACTTGCCACTTCTCTCATTGGGAAGGTTACAGAATCTGGAGCTGCCATGGAAGATGTTGACTTCAAGAACACCCTGCTGTATCTGCAACTGAGAGATTAGGCATCCATTTGGCTATGAAACATTCCTTCCTCCATCTACAGAGCTAGTGATTGAACATTCACACTCGAATGCAGAAAGCCATACTCACCAGAAGGAGCAGTGAGAAGATGGTCTCCACCTCACTTCTGCCTTGCAAACCCTGTGCATCTAGTTGGTGAATTTAATTTGYACCCAGAACTTTAGCTATAAGGGAGCCTGGGAAATGTAGTTTTTTAACTTTCTGGCATATGCATGCTAGAAGGATTTTGGAATGGCTGCTAGGGACTAGATTTAGTGTCTTCCATACCTTTTATTTTTCAGGGAAACTTCCAGATGAAGTTGAAACATTTTTGTGTGTGTGGTGCTGGGGACTGTACCCAAGGCCTTGTGCATGCGGGGTCCGTGTTCTACCACTGAGCTCTATCCCAGCTCCAAGACAATAACATTTGGCACTTTGGGGGTCAAGATGCTCTCTACTGTCTGTATACCTAAAGGCAGTTACATCTAACATTTCCTAAGCATTTCCTTTGTGCAGACTGTCAATTGTATTGCAAAACACAAATGAATATCAGCTTCAGATAGGATGGAAGTACTATAATTAAGCAAGAACAGATTTTTGAACACCACCAGCATCTGAATGGAGAGCGGGGGTGTYGTGGGGCTGGCCAAGTAAGGAAGGGAACAGCCAGCAGTGGGCAGTTCCTCCATTGGTCTTGCCAAAGGTTCAGAAATATATATTTGTTTTCTTAGTTTTTTAGTAAAGTGTGATGATTCTCTGTGTTTGTTTCAGATGGCCCAATTTACTTTTACAGATCAGAATTTGGTTTATTTCCTACTGAGATAGATTAAAAATATATATATTATATATATATATACACACACACATATATTAGTTGTTGATAGACCTTTATTTTATTTATTTATATGCGGTGCTGAGAATCAAACCCAGTGTCTCACTCATGCCAGATGAATGCCTACAGCTTTGCCACAGCTGCAGCCCCTGAGGTAGATTTTTGTTGGTGTTATTTTCATTTTACTTCAGGGATCTCTTGGTCACCTACTAAATGTTTGGTATGGTGAGTACAGTAGTGAAAAAGGCTGACAGAATATCTGCCCTTTTGAATTTCATGATCCAGCAGGAAAACAGTCATCGGACAAGTACTTAAGTAATTTATAACCTTGATGATTCTTGCAAAGTGGAGGTTGTTATCAAAAGTTCAATGGGGGGGGGGCTTGACTTCATTGGTCTGGGGGCTAAAAGTTCTTCTGTGAAATTGACATTTGAAACTGGAGGAATGAATTTAAATCAGCCAGGTAAAGACAAAAGAGATGGAGGGGACAGAGAACAGGGTTTCACGAGAGAAACAGAAAATAACATTTTGCTCATAACAGCACTTAACACCATAACTAGCCCAAGATTTATAATCACTGGTAGCTATTATTATCTACCCATGAAAACCTTTACAAACAGAGCAAAAGGTATAATCAAGTACCTTAGGTTCAGACTCTGGATTTAGGTTCAGACTCTGGATTTGGGAAGGAGAATGAGTGTTTGGGTGATACTGGAAACACTGGGGATTGAGCTGGGGGCAGGTGTCTCTGGAGTAAGATATCTCCTGTGAGGCTCCTTTCCCATACATCTCAATCATCAGGTCCTGCCAGTCTCCCAGGTGGACTCAGATTCTGCCAGTCTCCCAGGTGGACTCAGTCCTCCCATCCTCACTGCTGCTGAGAGTCAGCACGCTTGGGTCCCCACAGTGGCTTTCTCAGTGGCCCTTTGCTTTCAGGTTTTACTGTACATGGCTGCCCGAGTTGCCATCCTTCCTGAATCACAGGTCAAACAGCTCTACCCTTCTGAACACGACAGGACTCCTGTTGTTTACAGTGTGACGTTCAAGCCCTTCAGATTGGCCTGAAAGCATTTCACTACCTGGTTATCCCCCAAAAGTCATCGAGCCTCGTCTCCTATCCCAGTGCATATGATCCAGGCACACTGGACTCCCTCGGGTTCCTAATATATCATGTACTCTCATGTCCCGTGTTCTTGCTCATGTTCTTCCCCCTGTCTGATTGTCCTTCACCCTGTTCTCCTTCATCACCTGATGAGATGCCTTCCATGTCAAGTGTTATCTTCCTTGAGACTTCTTCTTCATTCACCTTCTTACTCCCCTGTCCTGTTATGAGAGTCAGTGACTCTTCTCATCCTCTGATCAGATTTCTGCCAACACTTTTTYTCAAGCTGTGGTCAGGCTGTAGTATGTCTGCCCTGGCCCTGGGTTGTGTGCCTCTCACCACCAAGTACACAGTGAGTAGGTCCCAGATAAGGATCCCTGATGTTCCCTTTAGTTAAAGTGGTTGGTCTGGGTAGAGGAGGCTCCCTGGTTTTCCATGTGGAATTTATTCTATGAATATTTATTGAACATCCACTATGTGCTGCTGGTCTCTGAGTGGTCACTAAGAAGAGTGCAAATGAAAAAAAGAGGCTGATCCTAGTTCTTGCTCTTCTGGAGTTTATTTTATAACGAATGGGGAGACAGAAGAGCCCAGGGAAAGGACAAACTTGTTACGTTCACCCATTGAGGTAAATGAATGGCAAATGTGTTGAGGATGTTCTTGACATCTTTCTTTCTTCCTTTTCAGTGTTAGAGATTGATTTTGCGGAGCTAACCCTGGAAGAGATTATTGGCATTGGGGGCTTTGGGAAGGTCTATCGTGCTTTCTGGATAGGCGATGAGGTAGCCGTGAAAGCAGCTCGCCACGACCCYGATGAGGACATCAGCCAGACCATAGAGAACGTTCGCCAAGAGGCCAAGCTCTTCGCCATGCTGAAGCACCCCAACATCATTGCTCTTAGGGGTGTGTGTCTGAAGGAACCCAACCTCTGCTTAGTCATGGAGTTTGCTCGCGGAGGGCCTTTGAATAGAGTGTTATCCGGGAAAAGGATCCCCCCGGACATCCTGGTGAACTGGGCCGTGCAGATCGCCAGAGGGATGAACTACCTACATGATGAGGCCATCGTCCCCATCATCCACCGCGACCTTAAGTCCAGCAACAGTGAGTAGTAGGAAGAGCTGGGCTGGAGGGTTAATGGCACCTTCACTCTGAGGCCGTGGCCTCAGGAGGAGTGGATTCCCSGTGGAACCTTGCCTGAAATATTCCATTCTTGAGTGGGAGGGGATGCGGGAGTGGAATGAGTGCCAGGGAAAACTGGTGGGATAAGTTTGAACTCCAATTAGCAGGCAAGGTTGACAATGTGTAATTCTGATACGTGCTGCAAGAACACATTTATTTTTCCCACTTGAGGGAAGTTGTGTAGGTAATCAAAGACGGATTTCCCTCTTTGTGGAACAGCAAGTAAAAGCAGACCTGTGCCACCTGCTTGAATTTCTGCCTAAACACCTCAACTTAAGGTACCCACCAGAGAAGAGACCATCAGAAGAAGGGGCAAATTTTTTAAACGGTGAGCTGATTGAGATGACAGTGCCAGTTTGGAGAACATGACCTGGCTGGTAGTGTTACAGACCTCCTGGTAGCCCAGGGATGACATTAATCCCAAAACTACCTGGTATTTAATAGCAGGGAACTGAGAAGTAACTGTTTATTAAACACCCAGTATCCATAAACTGGATTGTAAAGCAAGTGTTAGGTATAATTAAATAGCAAGTTGGTAGTGATTTCCATAGTTCACCAGGGCTGAATCAGAGGACCTAGGAATACTCTTTATTTGTGGGGTGGTTTGTGTTGTCTCCTGCCTAACCTGACTGTAGACAGCATACAGTTGCTTAAAGGTATATGCTTAAGATTACTTTGAGCATCCTGTCCCAGAGAGCTGGGTATTTGAGTTGAAGGACTTTGGGGGTGACATGGGCCCCAGGGACTTCACTCTCTCTGTGTTCTTCTGTTTTAAGCTCAGAAATCCTTCAGACCTTGTTTTGTTCCAAGTTGTTCCAGATGTGGTTATTTTTCTGTTAATGTTCTTGTTAATTGTTAAAAATTGCAAATTSTTGTAGAAAACTTAGAAAGTACACATAAACAAATAGAAGAGAGAGCTAATTCAGTATTTTCCTTTAGCAATATCAATTCTTACATTTAGCATATTCTTCCAGACATTTTAAAATCATATAGGGTTCATATATATACAAATCATATAGAGTTCACATATATATACGTGTATGTATATATGTATATCTATATACATACATATATGTATATATATATTAAACACATATATGTGTGTGTGTATACACACACACACACACACACACAGATATACTTTCCAATTTACTTTAAGATAGCCTTTGTTACTTTTATCTTTTCTACCTGTGTACTCTTCATCCCTTAATATAGAATCTTCCTTCTTGCAAGAGTATGGAATGTTAGATATTCATTTTAGGTATGATATGTGTAGAAGTTTTAAGTTACATAAAATAAAATCTGTTTTCTCTTTTTCCCTTAACCATTATTTTATCTCTTTTTCATGTTCTGAACCTTCTTCCCCAATTCTGTTCTTTAAATGTACTAAATAAATTCAAATTTATTTGGTGACCTCTTTCAGAGTACTTCTACCTAGAGATTGTTTCGGATGATGGGATAAGAAGCAGCAGATGTGTTGGTAGAAAATGTGTTATAGAAGCTGAATTTTCTTTATTATTATCATTTTTTTATATATCCTTATCATGCTAGGAGAATTAGGAGAAGTGCTTTAATGTTGCATAATTGAACCTGTTTAGAAAGCTGGGCTARGATAATAAAATTGTAAGAGTTTATCAGTTTCTTGATGAAGTTTTAATTGAACCTAATTTCAAGCTAGCCTTACTTTTATAAGTTTTATGTTTTGGACTCTAGGCTCTTGGAAAGGAAAGGCTGCCCTGCCAAAGTGCTGCTGTTGGTAGGAGAGGGCAGGAGACCTAAATGTCACTCTGTTTTCCAGAAGACAGTGCTTTGATCCTTTCTTTGTCCTTAAGTGTGTTTCGGGATTGCCATGGGAGGACCCTCCAGGTGGCCTGTTGTGGAGAAAGAGGATTTCTACATAGGGTACTATTTTGAAGGACCTTGTCAACACATGGCCAGAAGCGAGCCTGGTACAGTGTACCTCATGGTTGGTGCTGATGTTTGCCAGCTGTAAATCTCACATGTGAGTTGGAGCAGCCCCTTGACATTAGTCTGTGGGTGGATATTTGCCTAGGATTCTATATATCCAATGGGTACCTCGTTGACCCTCATTATTATTTCATTGCAGTGTGAGCATGATTTGAAAATGATTTTAAAAATGCTATGCCATTCCTTGCCCATCGCCTTCAATTTGGGAATCATAACTTTGTGTTTTGTAGACCTGGGGACACTGTCCTGTTTCCCTTGGTTTTTATTAAGTATTCTGGAGAGTTGGATTTTGKTCACTGCCATATAAGGGAAGAATACTAGGAATTGTATGTTAGCTGACTTTGAACTGATAGAGAAAAAGAGTATGAATATATGGGGACTATCTTTGTGGGAAAAGAAGGTAGTCAGTGATAATATACAGCTGTTATAAACTATTAGTAAAAAGTAACGTGTTTAAATGTTTTATTGGGGCTGGGGTTGTGGCTGAGTGGTAGAGCACTTGCCTGGCACGTGTAAGGCACTGGGTTCRATCCTCAGCACCACATAAAAATAAGTAAATAAAATAAAGGAATAAAAAATGTTTTATTATCCTGATCACCTACTTGAAACAGTCATTTTCCATTTACCAGCAGTGAAATGTCTATGGCACACAGTATTCTTTGTGGATATACAATGCACATTAAGTTTAGGTCTGACTGTATATAACCTAAGAAACAAAACAAAATAACAATGACTAAAATGAGGTCAGGGGACTTAGCCCACAGTAGAGACCTTGCCTAGCATGTGCAGAGCCCTGAGTTTGAGTCCTAGTGCTGCAATAAGTAAATAAAAAAATAAAATAAAATAAGGTATACATTTATCTTTGAAAAGAAGTCTGAGGATTTTAGGGTAGCTCCATAGGGTTATCAGGGCCCCAGTTTCCTGTTTTTTATTCTATCATCCCAGTATGTGACTTTCATCCTCCAGTATGTGACTTTCAGCCTCCAGGTCCAATAGGCTACTGGAGGACCAGATATCTGATCCAAGTACAGACCTGAAGGAGGTGGAAAAGCAGAAGTGCAGACTGAGGTGCTCCTAGTGACTGGGTCAGCTCCCATTAATTTCTCAGAGGTCTAGTACAACATGATCACATAAATGTGACTAGCAGCAAAGGAGGCTGGAAGTAGAGGCTTTTATGCTGGGTGGCATTGAGTCCCACTAATAATCAAGGTATGATACCAAGGACAAACACATCTGGAGGGGTGGCAGCCAGCAGTGTTGTCATGGAATCTTTTTGTTTATTTTGTGGTACTGGGGATTGAACCCAGGGTGCTGTGTCACTGAGCTATATCCCCAGTCCTTTTTTTTTTAATATTTATTTTTTAGTTATAGTTGGACACAATACCTTTATTTTACCTATCCATTTTTTTATGTGGTGCTGAGGATCGAACCCAGGGCCTCCTGCGTGGAAGGCGAGCGCTCTACCGCTGAGCCACAACCCCAGCTCCCCCATTCTTTTTTAGTTTGAGACAAAGTCTTGCTAAGTTGTCCAGGCTGGCCTTGTACTTATGATCCTCCTGCCTCAGCCTCCCAACCAGCTGGGACTATAGGCTTGTGCCATCAGGCCTGGCTTTGCCATGGAATSTTTTTTTTTTTTTTTTAATTTAAAAAATTTTTTAGTTGTAGCTGGACACAATATGTTTATTTTACTTATTTATTTTTATGTGGTGCTGAGGATTGATCCCAGGTCTCACACGTGCAAGGCGATCACTCTACCACTGAGCCACAACCCCAGCCCTGCCTTGGAATCTTAATGCAGGATATGTATTGGGAAAAACAGTTTACTCAGATATTTAGCATCATACAACCAAACAAATTTAGCTGGGCGCTGGGACATATGGCTCAGACTCCTGGTTTAACTAATGCCTTACACTGCTTTACCACATCAGATCATTAACTTAAACATCACATCTTAAAACTACTTGTAAAAGGCCACTGGCTATAAAAATGGATTTATGTCTCCCTGCTCCATCAAATCTGGGGAAAACCAGTTATTTGGTTGTTAGTAAAGACATTAGTGAAGGATATCTTTCAGTGGGAAGATTGTCTTTTTTGGGATAGGTTTGTGGATTTTAGGATTTTGTATAGCAGGTGATTTGGCATGAAGGCACTTGGCCGAATAGCAGTTTAATAGTTCTCTTAAAAGTTAAATTAGGCTGGGTGTGGTGGTGCACACCTGTAATTCCATCAGCTCTGGAGGCTGAGAAAGGAGAATCCCAAGTTCCAGGTCAGCCTCAGCAACTTAGTGTGGCCCTAAGCAACTTAAGTGAGACCCTGTCTCAAAATAAAAAGCATTGGAGATGTGGCTCAGTGGTTAAGTACCCCTGGGTTCAATTCCTGGTGCAAAAAAAAAAAAAAAAAAAAAAGTTAAATTGGTGGGACTGGGGGTGTGGTTCACTGGTAGAGTGCTTGCCTAGCTTGCATAAGACTGGGTTTCATCCCCAGTAATGCCAAAGGGAATATAAGTAAGTAAGTAAATAAATAAATAAATGAAATGAAATGAAAAAAAAAAATAAAAAATCTAAAAACTTCCCAAAGGAAAGGTAGTATTATTACTTTTATTTTATTATCAAATAACTGATAAGTATTCCAGAAAATTGGATTTGGTCCCTGTCATGTAAGGGTGTACTAGGAATTATATGTTAGTAGACTTTGAACTGATAAAGAAAAAAATAGGAATACATGGGTACTGACATGGGGGAGAAGAGAGTAATTGGTAATAAACCTCCAGCTGTTATAAAGTCTTAGTAAAAACCCTCTCCTTCTGGGGCTGGGGTTGTGGCTTAGCAGTAAAGCGCTTGCCTAGCGTGTGCAAGGCCCTGGGTTCAATCCTCAGCACCAMATAAAAATAAATAAATAAAATAAAGGTATTGTGTTCAACTACAACTAAAAAAAAAAAAAGCCTCTCCTTCTTT